TAGTAGTAGAAGTAGTAGTAGTAGTAGAAGTAGTAGTAGTAGTAGTAGTAGTAGTAGTAGTAGTAGTAGTATAACATTACAATAACAACAGCAACACTAAAAACTCTAAAACAATAACTAACATCACCTCATACAAATCATTGAAGCATAACTGTATATACAAACATACATACACACATATATACATACAGGCACATAAACATACAAAGATGCATACATAAAAATATTTTGTGAAAAATTTTCTTAACTCTCAGAAATATCAACTATCACATATATACACACAGGACAATGTGAAAATTTTTTAAATTTTTTGATAAAAGATAATAAAATTGGACAAAAAACCATCAAAACAGCAATTTTATATGAATAGAATCTCCAATTTATGCATATTTAGACAGAAATTCATATTAGCAAACAATAATTAAAAGTGAAAAATAATACAAAACATAGATCTATGCATTCATTTGCACAACTATTTAAAAGTTAAACATAATTACTATAGCTATAACAAAAAAATGGATCAATTATTGATACTAGCAATACTAATTAAAAGAAGAATTACAAAAAATTACTAACCCTGATCTAATTTGACCCGAAATCAGCAAGTAATAAGGTTGGCGATGATCTTATGAAAACTATAGAGCAGCAATAAGCTGGTAACCCAATGAAAATCAGGAATCACTGATCAGAAAAAATGTCCTTCAAGGTTTTTAAATTATTTACACAAAATTAAAAACCAGATCACTGGGGAAATCCAATCAAATCAAACAGATTTAAAACTAAACTAGAATAGCTATTTCACTTCACTAATCTAATCTATTATCCCCTGCTGAAGTATGATTTACTAATTACAAACTAAGCACTAAATCAATAAATTGAATTAAAATTAAATAGTTGTAAGTTTGTTCAATAAATTCATAACTTTTAATTTTAATTAAATTAAATTACACAATTTAGTTTATTTTTTAATTACCTTCTTACCCGATCACTAACGTAAAATCAAAATTAGATCATTAGTGAGAAATTAACACTTTCATTTCATTAAAAATATTTACACTTACGACAGTAATGTATTTAGATTAGCATTAGTTAATTAGGGAAATTAGTGTAGAAGAGTAGCAATGCAAAACAACAAATCGTAAATTTAAATTACGATTTTACAACCAACGAAATTATATACAAAAGAAATAAATAATAAAATCGCATCGTACGATAAACATTAATATTTTTGAGATAAATTAATTTTAAATTTAAGTTAATACTCGTTCCTTTATAATACATCTATCGACCATGTTTGCCACAAAGCTTACTTTCCCCCATATACAAAGATCACGTGGTTGGAGGAGAAACGATTTTGATTGGCTGCCGAAGAAATTTTGTTAAAAGTAATTAAAAATTGTTTTAAGTGTTTATCAATTTGTAAAATATGATTTTTGTAACTAAAATGAATATTATATTAATTTTTTGTTGCTGTTTTACAATTGTAAATTAAATCAACTAGATTATTAGCATTCACTTTTAAAGTTTAAGATTCATCTTTAAATTGTAGACAGCTGTTTTACTTTTTAAAAATCTACTCTCTACCTACAACTGGCCGATTGGTTTGGTCACTTTTTTAGGCAAAACTACACTTTTTTTAATACCATGCAATAATTAAATTAGCATAGTCTCATCTTAGTCTTAAGCGAAAGTTAGATTTAGTTAGGGTTCTTCTGACAAACAAAATTACAATAATTATGGTTGACAATGTCCTGAAAGGATAAGGCACCAGAAAGAAGAAGATATAATTATTATAATATAATATATAAAATGCCCAGATATATACTTACGCTTGCATATATATTCAATAACTATATGTATATATTTATGTGTGTGTGTGTGTGTGTGTGTAAGTGCGTGTGAGAAATTCAATCTATAATTCCTTTCTTACATTTTAGCCCATCCCTGTTTTTTCACTTTTAAAAAAATGTTAGATGTTTTTTAATAAATAGCCGTATATATTGTAATCTTTTAATTATTAAATTCTTTTCTAATTAATAACTGAACTAATTTAAGATTAATTGTGTTCTGTTAAATATTAAAAAAAATCACTTCAGTTGCTAAATCGTAAGATGGCCTTTTTTGTCGATGCCAACGTAAAGAAAGAATTCAGCATTCCGTTGGTGAAGAACAACGGCCGTCCCTCTGCAGACGACAAAGACTTGAACGACTTAATGTTTCCGGGGCCAACAGAGTGTGATGAAGATATAAGCATCAGCGCCGAATCAGACGATAGCAATGGTGAAATTATGGCATCTGCTTCCGAAGAAAATTTTTCAGGGGAGATTGCGTTTGAAAATTTCAACATTCACAATGCGGCTGGAGTGGACTTGTCCGAGTTGCATTCAGCTGATGGCAGGAGCATACCCCGCAAGTTGTGTCTGGTCTGCAACGATTTCGCATCTGGCCTGCACTATGGCATCCCTTCGTGTGAGGCTTGTAAGGCTTTCTTCAAGAGAACTGTTCAAGGTATTTTTTTTCAAATTTTGTAATTATTATATTTTATTATATTACGTCTATGGTCTATAATTATTCAATTTATTTATTTATTTATCTAGGATTTTTCAGCTTCTTGCAATTCTAATTAATTTTTTGAGTTTGTATTATGGTTGACATTACTTTTGTTTATGTAACATTAATATTTGCATTAAGATGTCTATAATTATTAATTGTCACAGTTATTTTTCAAATAAAAAAAAATATAAGGTCAGATGATCAGTGAATAGCTCTTATTTAATTTTATGTTTAATTTAATTTCTTTTAGATTCATTTTTCAATGTTAATTTAAAGGGTGAAAAAATTAAATTGAGATAATAAAAAAAAATAAAATGTAAATATTTTCTACTGTAAGGCAACGTTGAGTACTCCTGCTCAGCCAGTGAGGATTGTGAGATAACAAAAAGGAGGAGGAAGGCGTGCCAGGCGTGTCGCTACAAGAAATGTTTGATGGTCGGCATGCTGAAAGAAGGTTCTACTTCAATGTTTTAATGTTCTTTGGTCTCTTCTGTGTTGTTTGCTGTTCATTAACATGAAAATGGTTTAAATTGAAAAGTTGTTTTGTGGGTAGGGCAGCATTGGCGTTTTCAATTTTTCATTGTTATCATTATCATAAGTTTGCTTTCTTGACAAATAGGAGTTAGGATAGACAGAGTGAGAGGTGGGAGACAAAAATACAAAAGAGTGGAACCGGGTACATCTCCGTATGGAAATTCCATGTCTAAAATTAGCATTGGTACATATTTTTAAGATTATGCTTCATTTTAAAAACATTTCCTCACTACCAATAAATTTCATCTCAATATTTCTCATCTCCAGAGAGTAAGATCATGAGCGGGTTACTGGAGTCGATCGAACCCGAGAAGTTATTCGCCTTTCCTGATGACTCAATAAATGATATGGAGCTTAAATTCAACACATCCCTATCTGATCTGACTGACAGAGAATTATTGGCTACAGTTAACTGGGCAAAATCAGTTTCAGGTATGTTCGAGTTTTGGATTTTTAAAATTTATTGGTTCACATCTTTGTAAAAACATAACTTCTCATGATTTGAATATTAGTCGTGATCAAATGTTCATCTCATAATGTTAATTTTGTGTTATATTCTTTCTTCAAAATGCAGGATTTCTTGAGTTGAGTACGATCGATCAGATGTACCTGTTGCAGAACGTCTGGCTGGATATATTTCTGTTGAATGTTGCTTACAGATCCATGCCCTACACAGGCACCATCATCTTCTCAGATGATTTCACGTAACTCTCGTGTTTTCTTTCTTTCAAAAGTTACAACAGCCTTTTCATTCTCATCACTTAGTCTGTATATAATCACTTTGTATGCTCATTTTAATTTTGCTTTAATTTTGTTTTGTTTACTTCAAAAATTGTATCTTTCCGTTTGAGCAGTTTGAAAGATTCAGAATGTAGAATGTGTGGCGTCAGTACGGAGTTCAATTCTCTCCTGAGAAAGTTATGCAGCAAGCTGACAGGTCTGAAGGTTAGCAAGGAGGAATACATGTACATGAAGACCATACTACTATTTAATCCAGGTGCTCTTATCATCCATGCATGCAATCTATTTATTACCAATAGATACTTCAGCTTTCATTATGCCTGATTCACTGTTGAGTGAAATTTCAATTTAAATGTCAAATCTCATCTTAAAAAACACCTCACATCGCAGAAACTGAATATCTCCAGCACAAAGATCAAGTCCAAAAACGACGCGAAAAGATGCAAGATTACCTGCAAGAAGTCTGCATCATCCAGGGCAGCCAAGGTACGGCCCGTCTTTGTTCACTAATCTTCATCTTGGCCTCCTTACACAACGTTAGGGCTGCTGCCAGAAATTACTGGCTGGCCGTCAAAAACGAGGGTAAAGTTGGCCTTCACAAACTTCTCTGTGAGATGTTGGAACTCATGGATGAGGATTCATGGTATTTTGTTTAGGAATCCGCTAATTTGGGTGTTTATTGGGTAGATTTGAGACTAACACGCCGGCATGTTTGTGTATTTTATGATAGGTATTCTCATTATCAGAGCGTGTACCGTATTTTTTCAGTTGCTCTTGTTGACTTAATTGTTCTTTTTTCAATAAATTGTTTGTAGTTTTTTTCGTTGTTTGTTAAACTTTATTTTATTTTTTAATTGTGATTTCTCCTTTAATTTAAAGTTTTATTGTTAGTTGGTGTGTAATATTCTGATTACCTTTTATAACGCGTCAGTGTAGTTTTATATGAAAACAGTTGAAAATATCTGTCTGCTTATGTTAATGAGTGGGCCTAGATGGTTTTTAAAGAGCTGATACGCATATCAATCAGTTTGCACTAGTTTGCATATTTAATAGTTTGTATTTATTTGAATATTAATCAGTTAGCAGCATTTTGTTAGTATTTATTCATTTCAATATCAGTTAATCAAACGTATTCGTTTTGTTCTTATGTAGAGAACTAAGTAGCTATGCATCTTTGTTTTGTCAACTTTCGTATATCGAAATTAAAGATAAAATTATCTTGCTTTCGATACTTTTGATATATTTATTTATTTATATTTTGATATATTTATTTATTTGTATTTTATATATATTGATATATTATATTTCTCAGAAATAATTTGGATAGATATATGTAAACTATTTAATGACACAAATCTATGTTTTCACATTTGTGGATATTTGTACTGCAGACTGCTATTGAATTACTTGCTGATCAGTGCATCAACTTTTGTGCTAGAGATATTTTTTGGTACAAAAAACTATTTTGGTACCTAGAACAGTGTTTTATTTCTATTATTAGTTATTTATTTATTTATTTACTTATTTATTTAAGATATAATTGTCAATAAACCAATAAAACTCTTTATGATAATATAGATTTACAATTGATGATGAATGTTTTATTGTTACTAACACCATCAAACTCAATTGATTAATTGTTTTGTGCGTGTGTGCGTGCGTGTGTGCAATTGAAAAATTTGTTTTTAAAAATGAATTCATATCAACAGTACAATTAAGTTTCATGACCAACAATAATAATTAAGAATCAAACAACTATTGTGTAATGTCAATAAACAAGCGAAAGTAATATAAATTGTAGAAATATCGACTAAAACTCTATTTCACTTTTCATCATTTCAACCAAAGTTTTAGTCTGAGGGCATCTACTCCATTTAAATAATACCTAAAAAGTCTCTTGTCTCTAACAAAACCAAGGTTCTCGTAGAGGCGAAGAGCTGCATGGTTGGTGATTTCTGTCTCGAGGACGACCTCATCACAATTGTCATTCACCATTCCTTTTATGGCTCTGATCACTAAGTGAGATCCTAATTTTAAGCAGGTAGATAATATTAGTGAAATAAAGATGCGTTTTGAAAAAATTCTTGATTTAAAAATGAAACATCAAATAAACTATCTAAATGCCATTTTACTTTGAAAATTAAACAAATACACAACTTGAATATCATTCTAATTTGAAAAAACTCACCTATCCCCTTATGCCTGTGTTCTTTGGCGACGGCCAGCATAGCTATATAGCCTCTCCGGAAGATCTTTTTGTGGAAGTCGACCTTGCACACGATGGCTCCAACACATTCTTTTGCATACATGGCCTGTTTTAGTTTTTCAAGATAAATTGTTTAGTTTCAGTGTATATGAAAAGATGTGTCAATATTAATTATATTTATATACACATTTACCTTACATTTATAATATATACTATTATAAATTATAATATAAGTTACCAATTAATGTTATAATTATCATAAATGATACAAAGTTGTAAGCAGTTGAAGAGTGAATTTTTAAAAAATTCTCTGACTAGGAAGCACAAATTAGGCCAGTTATGAATGAAGTATCGGTAAGTGTAGATTGAGTATGGCTCTGAGAGGTCTTTTGTGATCAAATCCATGATCTGTGGCATTTGTAACTCGGACTCATATACAACATACTCAATCTGTGGGCTGTTGGGACAAGGGCAATTCTCACTGGGCAATGATGTTGTTGTTGCTACAATGTTAGATTGCGCTGTTATCCTTACATCACTAGATATGTTCTGATTTGTGTCCGTTGAAGGCACTAACTCTGTTGCATTTAATTGTAAGCTATCTAATTTATCTGCTATGACGTCATTCTCTGCCTTTTCAATTTTATGGGTTGACTTCGCTTCTTGGTTTAAAATTATTTTCTCAGGATCAATTTTGAGTTTGTCGTTGTTTATTAGTAAGATTTCGCTCCGAACTGGATAAGAGTTGGGGACATCATCATCACCGGAATCACTACCAGTACCGTTACAATGCATGTAGTTCGTGTCGTCGACAATAGAGGTGACCGTCTGGGGCCTAATTTGAGGATCAAACGAATCAATAAAATGATTACAGTTTGCAGAGGATTTCAACAACTTTTCGTGTGATGTACTTTGTCGGCCATCTTGCGTTCTCTCCGCTGCCGAATTGATGCCATCTTCGAGCAGAAGTGAGGACATATTTTTTTGCAAATTTGAAAACCCTGTTTATTTAAATTTGTTTGTTTATTTCGTTCATTTTCACAAACAAATAAGGAGTATAAGTTTAATATTATTTACAAAAGTAATACTTAATTGATTAAAAACTTAATGTTGCGAAAACAAAGTAGAGCAGATTAGTTCGATGTTAGTTACTCAACACCTATTTTTGAGCTGACATGGAAAACCATATACTTATAATACATTCTCAATCTTAGTCTATTTATATGTATCAAACAGTATCTTATTGAACATAGTAGTATCATAAAATGAATAAAGATATTTTTTCAAAAATTTAAAATTTGATTTCATTGCGATATCAATGATGATGATTGTGACCTGACTAATTAAAAAACATCAAATAAAAATTTATTAAATAGGATGGGTAATTCGTTGCGAAATCGTTGGAGGAAATGACGTCATGTTAGCAGTATTTATTTTACTGCCTGGTAGTTAATCAGCCGGTATAAAAGTTATATTCAATTCCTATCAAATAAATTTTACCAAATATCATACGCAGGCTGAACTAAATAAAGAAATAGATAGATATATAGATATATATAATATACGTAGTTTTAAGAAATTTATAATGTTGTATTTACACATTCAAATTGTACAATTGTGTTATGGTGTAGTTTCAAATTATTTTGAATTCTCTCAAAGAAATTTAAACTTTTTACTATATACTAGTTACTTTCAATAACAATTTAAAAAAAAATCAATTTGATTTCATCGCGATATCGATGATGATGATTGTGACCTGATTAATAAAGAAGCATCCAAAAAAATTTTGAAAATAGGATGGAGAATTTGTTATATTGGGATATTTGTATATAAAGCGAGCCAAATTTTAATATAAAAGCGCTCATAAATCTACGCATATTGGCTCAGCTTGGCTTGGCTCGGCTTGGCTCGGCTTGGCTTATAATTGATGTTAAGCATAAATACAATTATTTACAAATAATTGTATATATATATATAAAATAAAGTGACTAAAATCCATGTATATAAATAATTAATATGATTATATTTTTATATAAAAAGCAATATAGCAGATTCAACCAGCCAATCAGTAAGTTTCGAAGGCGTTCGTTCGATGATGTCAATTTAGTACGGTTAGCATTGTTGTTAAGACTGTATAATAGTGATTGAATGATTGAAATGATGAAAATGTATGGTTGAAACGAGTATAAATGGGAGCTGAGACAACATGAAAATCAGATCAGGCATTCTGCCTCGCTTGAAACAGTCTGCCTGATCTTTTTTTTTTTAATTTTTATTTATTTTATTATATAGAGTTATATAGAGCTATATAGAGTTATATAGAGCTATATAGAGTTATATAGAGTTATATAGAGTTATATAGAGTTATATATGTTGCCTGTGGTTTGTGTGTTTTTATGTTGTATTATTTTATATTTTAGGTGGGTTCTATAGCGGTTGCTCATACATACATACATACATCATGTTTGTTTGTGTGGTAGTATTTTATGTTCTGTTTTACGATTTTTTCTCTTTCTTCATGAGTCTTGAGTTTAATTAATGAAACATAGGTAGGTGAGATTAAAAATTAATTTACTACATAGGTAGGCTAAGGCGTAAGGTAATTTAGTTACATAGGTAAGTTAGGGACTTCTATTCTTTTACTCTACTTGGTGGTGTGTTTTTTGTTTGTTTTGTTTCACACTATACATATAACAGGTACGCGGTGGTTTTAGTGGGATTTTTATTGATTGAATGCGGTAGTATACTTGGTTATATAGAGTTATATAGAGTTATATAGAGTTATATAGAGTTATATAGAGTTATATAGAGTTATATAGAGTTATATAGAGTTATATAGAGTTATATAGAGTTATATAGAGTTATATAGAGTTATATAGAGTTATATAGAGTTATATAGAGTTATATAGAGTTATATAGAGCATAAATCCTATATAGATACCTTTCTTTGAGGTTCTTTTCTTTACCGACCGGTCGGCTTCTTTGCTTTTCTCTATTTTCATTTAAATTAATTGAATAAATAAGACTTTTCCATTCATTTAGGTTCATTCAGGTTGAAGCTTCTAGAGGAGTTCATCATGGAAGATCAGAGTGGTTGTGATGTCACGCTACGTTCGTTCATTCATTGGCAAAGAATGAAAAAATGCACGCCTGGCTGGGGTACGTTTTACGGTTTCTTTGCAGTCCCTTTCTTTGCCAGTTGGCTGGCTTTTTCGGCTGGCGGGTTTCACCGCGGCTCGTTTCTCTATTTTCATTTAAATTAAATAAATGAGATTTTTTCGTTTCATTCATTTTATTCAGGTTGAAGCTTCCAGAGGAGTTCATCATCGAGGATGTCAGGCTACGTTCGTTCATTCAGTGGTAAAGAATACACGCCTGGCTGGGATACGTTTTATTCTTTTTTCTCTGTAATTTAACATTAAGTAGGAATGCTCACACGCACACACACGCACACACAATTACATTAAGTAGCTATATAGGTAGGTTATATAGGCATAATTTTAATTGTAGGTAGGATAGATAGGAAGCATCCAACACTAATGTAGTTGAATAGGTAGGCATCGTAAGTTTATCTCTTCTATTTTTTCTCGCACCCACGTTACACGCATCAGCGTATTATACACACATACACAAATACATGCATAAACATATATTAGTATTTGAGCGTTATTTTATTTTCATTACACATTCTAATTTATTATTACTAAGGTTGAGAGTAATTTAATTTCATAGGTAGTTAAAAGCAATAATTTAATTCTAGGAACAATCTTGTAATTTAAATTAAATAAAAGCTGTAAGTGTATCGAGAGGTAAGTTAGTTATTAAGTTTTACATTATTATTATTAGGTTGGAGCCCAAGGCATTACGTAGGTGGTGGGGTGGGTGCCGAAAGGCCAATGAATTGGGCTCTTGAGTTTTGTAATTTTAGGTAAGCTAGGGCCATAATGTAATGAATAGGTAAGTTAAGGCTACGTTGTAACATTACTCATTAATAGATTTAGGGTTTATGTTTAAGTTTTATGTTATTACTAAGTTGGAGCCCAAGGCATTACGTAGGTGGTGGGGTGGGTGCCAATTGGCCAATGAATTGGGCTCTTGAGTTTTGTAATTTTTAAGTAAGCTAGGGCTTAATTGTAATGAATAGGTAAGTTGAGGGTACGATAGCCGATAGACTCTGAATTTCAAAGTCCGTTGTCGGAGGTAAGCTTTGGTGGCCAGTAACCGGCAATGGTTTACTATCCGGACGGCAATGGTTTACTATCTGCACGGTAATGATTTACTATGCGGCATGGCCATAGTCTACTACCCGCACGGCTTCCGGACGGCAAATGGTTTACTATCCGCACGGCAATAGTCTACTATCCGCACGGCAATGGTTTACTATCCGGTGCTCTGGCTGTCGGTGAACCTCTGTGCAAGGAGGGAGAATGAAGGGGGACTTTCGACTATCGTACCATTAACAATTTTATATAGATTAGTTAAGTTAATTGAATAGGTAGATAGGATTATTTTTATTAAGCAATTAGAGATGCAGGCACCGCTAAGCTTTCTGATGAGAATCTTCTCTTTATCTTTTTCCATCCCACGGACTGTTTCAACAAGAATCTCGGGGGACTTGCACCAGTTTTGGAGGACAACGTAGGAACCGGACCGCATTCAAAATTCTGCCTTTGTCGAATGGACGACGGTAAATTTTTTTTACATTTTACTCTCATTATTATTTTAAAATACTATTTTACCACTGTTTTCATTTTATAATTTTTTGCTTCTAAGATTCTAACATTCATTTACTACTACGCTAATAAAAAATTTTGTCTACAGAATGGTGAGAGGTGGGCAGAGGTGGGAGTCAGCACGTTTCAGATGGTGGTCTCATGATGATTTAAACATAATGATGGTGGTGTAGGAAGAATCAGCTCGTTGGCTGTTCGGCTGACACTGAAGTTCGGATGAAATCTTGTGTGCCGACCAGATGATGGTGGTCGGTGCAATCGAGTGCAGTAACGACGATTTTTGAAGTAAGGTTTAGTTTCGTCTTTTAATTTTTCTCATTCATTCATTCATTCATTCCATTCATTCATTCATTCATTCATTCATACATTCATTCGTTCGTTCATTCATTCGTTCATTCGTTCATTTTATCACTCAATCTTTCAAATTATTTTTCCATTTATTTTTTTAATCATTGAATCATTGATTGATTACTTAACTAATTAATTCATTCACTCACTCAGGCATTCAACATTATGCCTTTGTCGATTGGACGAAAGTAAGTTTTTTTTATATTTTACTCTCTTTATTATTTTGAAATATTATTTATTTGCCATTATTTTCATTTTATAATTTTTTCTTCTAAGATTCTAACATTCATTTATTACTACGCTAATAAAAAATGTTGTCTACAGAATGATGAGAGG